GGCGGCGGCGAGGGCGGCGGCGGGGCGGGTGCCCGCGAAACTGGTGGCGGCGGCTAGGGCGAGGTGGAGGGAGGCGGCGGCGAGGGCGGCGGCGGGGCGGGTGGCTGCCGGGCTGGTGGCGGCGGCGACGGCGAGGTGGAGGGAGGCGGCGGCGAGGGCGGCGGATGGGCGGGTGGCGGCGGGGCTGGTGGCGGCGGCGAGGGCGAGGTGGAGGGCGGCGGCGGCGAGGGCGGCGGAGGGTCGGGTGGCGGCGGGGCTGGTGGCGGCGGCGAGGGCGAGGTGGAGGGCGGCGGCGGCGTGGGCGGCGGAGGGGCGGGTGGCGGCGGGGCTGGTGGCGGCGGCGAGGGCGAGGTGGAGGGCGGCGGCGGCGTGGGCGGCGGCGGCGTGGGCGGCGGGCGCGAGGGCGGGCCCGTGACGGAGCACTCGGTGCAGCCAGAGCAGCCGTTCCAGGTGCAGCGCAAATCCCACGGGTCCGTCTTGACCGCACAGTAGGGCTTGCACGCATTGCACACGTCCCCGCAGGCCGAGCAGCCGTTCCATGAGCACTTTTCCGACCATGGTTGCGTCTTGGTCTCGCAGAATGGCTCGCACTCAGGCTCGGGGCCGCACTCGGAGCAGCCAGAGCAGCCGTTCCAGGTGCACTTGGTATCCCAGGCGTGCGTCTTGTCCTCACAAAACGGCTTGCACTCCGGCGCAGGGGAGGAGCACTCGGAGCAGCCGTTGCAGCCCCCCCAGGTGCACTTGGTATCCCAGGCGTGCGTCTTGTCCTCACAAAACGGCTTGCACTCCGGCGCAGGGGAGGAGCACTCGGAGCAGCCGTTGCAGCCCCCCCAGGAGCACTTGGTATCCCAGGCGTGTGTCTTGTCCTCACAAAACGGCTTGCACTCCGGCGCAGGGGAGGAGCACTCGGAGCAGCCGTTGCAGCCCCCCCAGGTGCACTTGGTATCCCAGGCGTGCGTCTTGTCCTCACAAAACGGCTTGCACTCCGGCGCAGGGGAGGAGCACTCGGAGCAGCCGTTGCAACCCCCCCAGGTGCACTTGGTATCCCAGGCGTGCGTCTTGTCCTCACAGAATGCCTTGCACTCCGGCGTGGGAGGGGGCGGCGGAGGAAGCATGCACTCGGTGCAGCCGCCACAGCCGGTCCAGCTGCACCGGGCGTCCCAGGGTTGCGTCTTTGCTGCACAGAAGCCCTGGCATTGTGGCGGGCTTGCTGTCGGTGGCGGGACGTAGCATTCGCTGCAACCGCCGCAGCCGTCCCACGAGCAGAGCGTGTCCCAGCCCTGGGTCTTGCTCTCGCAAAACTGCTTGCACTGTGATGGCGAGGAGGAGGGCGTCGCCAACGCTGCACCAGGAAGTGCAGCGAAGATGAGCCACGCAGCGAACCAAGCATCGTCGGCTCAGTGATGGGTCCGTCCGTCCGTCCGTTGGGCCCGCGTCAGCTTGTTCTGCAGCACGGTTCGCCGCCTTCCAAGAGAGGAATCTCGCCGACCCTTTCGGTGAAAGAGACTGCGAATCGCATCTTTTACTTCGATGCGGATGCGATCCTTCGAATTCACCGCAAATAATCAGAGGAACAGTCGCTTTGGATCCCTAGTACGTGCGTTCAGTCCACTCACCGCAAGACGCAGCTCGCACGCGCCTCGCGGCCAGTAGATGACTTCGGACCTGCAACAGCGGAGCCTAGCGCCACGGAGCGGCAACGACAGCGAGTCCGACAGCTCCGCCTCCCTCCCCTCCCTGGACTACTCTATGGCCTGCTGCGAGTGCGCGCACCTGTGCCGCTGTGTGCCGCTGTCCCTCCGTCCCTTCCACCCCTCGCCTGGCCTCTCCTCGGGATCTAGGTGATCCTGTCGTGCCCCACCGCGGCGACAGCACGGCTGTACGCCCTCGAACGCAGGTGTGGCTCTGACTGCAGCGCCTGCGGCCTGCCGGTCTTTTTCTACCGGGACCGTGCCTTCTGTAGCCCGGACTGCCGCTCGACGGCGTTCGAGCGGATGCGCTGTAGCGCGCCGTGCAGGAGCTCGTCTCCGGGCGTGGGGCCCGCGGCGGACGCGGCGCTCCAGGCTTGCACGCGGCCGGCCCATGCACTTTCTCACTGGCTCTTGGTTGACCTGTCCGCACCTGCGACTTAGGCCTTTTGCCGCGGCGCTGTGGTCCGAATATCGCGCCAGTCGACAAGTGACTCGGCGTCCAGCGGTAGACTCTCTCTCTTTGGCGACGAGCCCCGCGACGAGCAGGTCGGCGCTGCCAGTCATGACGGCGCGGGGTGGTAGCTACATCCGCACACCCAGCCGCGCAGCGCGCTGGGCACGACGCTGGCATTTGGCAACTAACGACACCATCTGTACTATCATCCCAGACACTGGACCAACTGCCGATGCGAGGGTGGTGAGTCAAATTTGATGGTCTATGCGCCGTTTTGGCGTTCTCTGTGACGTCGTCGTACGCGCGGTGTGTGCGCCGCCCGCGCCGCCGCCGGCCGCGCCGCGCCCCGCCGCCGCGCCGGACCGCGCCGTGTGTCGCGGCGTTCATGGCTAGCTTGATTTTTGTCCTGTCCCGCTCATTGTCGCTCTTCCTTGGTGTTTCGTTGATAGATACTATCGAAGTTTTACATGTAACATGTATGTTGTAAGTGGACCGGCAAGACAGATCGTGTGCGCGCACTGGGCCCGCGCTGCCACCGCGCGCTCTTTATTTGGCGCGGCGGCACAAACTGGCTGATGCCGACGAGGGTCGTCACCAGCGCGTCCTCTCCCAGCCCATCAGTCCGCCACAGTGCGCGGCCGCACGACGAGCGGCCAGAGCCTCGCATGTCGAAAACGGCGATGCACGCGCGGCCACGCAGGCTCGAAAGGAAGCCGAGTGCCTGCCACAGCTCGAGAGTGCAGCCCCAGCCGTGCATCCACTGCTCACGAATCAGCCGCGGATGGAGGAGCGGGCCCCACCAGCGCGGCGCGCTCGTCGCTGTCTCCAGCAAGAGGGAGCGGCTCGCCAGGCTGCGCCTCGCGTCCTACCACCTCGATCACAGGCACAGCCACGGCCACGGCAGTACGATGACGGCGGCGGTCGCAGCGGCACACGACAGCGAGCGCCAGGATCGTCATGAATAACATCGCCGCGATGGTGACGGAGCTGAGAGCAATCATCATCCCGAAGGGAGGATCGTGATCATGCCAGGCAAGTGGAGGTCCAGTATGCGTGAGCGTTGTGTGTGTGCCGCTCATGTCGGCGTGTCAGCGTGCGGCCACCGCTGTCAGCGTGCGGCCACCGCTGTCAGCGTGCGGCCACCGCTGTCAGCGTGCGGCCCTGTTAGACGCTGCCAATGCGGCGCACATGCAGTGTAATCGCACAGGGGGAAAAAACGCGGCGTTGCCCAAATTTGTCCTAGCGAGGTCTCCAAACGCGGTCGTCTCCGCGCCGCCCAGCACAAACACACACCCCATACGCACTCGAACACGCACATACACGACAACCCAAAGAAGCTAACAAATAAAACAGACAACAAGGGCAGCCTCCTGGCCAACCCTTCTCCCACAAGCAAGAACGGCCACGGCTACCGACCGTCAAGGCGCATCGCGGTTTCTACCATGACGCGATCTTTGTCGAGCGCAACAACTTCAACCTGCTGCTCCACGAGACGTTGCGGCGGCTTCTCGCCCACCGCCGTTCTCAAGCTGCGCCGCCTCGCGCGCAAGGTCGCGCGCGGCAGCGTCGACCGCACGGCCTACTCGCCCAAGTACTCGCTCTTGAGCACTTGAGCACTTGATAGGGTCGATTCCGCATGGTACGGGACCCCCTGAGGGAGGGTGTAGAGGATGTAGAGTGTAGAGCGCTGTAGAGCTGTAGAGATGTAGAGCGCTCTGGAGCGCTGTAGAGCTGTAGAGCTCTACATCGGCTGCGTGACGAGGCGGGTGCGTTGTAGAGCGATGTAGAGCGCGATTTTGCTGTAGAGTTTGTTGTAGAGGCTCTACAGCCAAACCGCCGGGAAGGCAGTGACTCAAAGAGGTCGAGTCGCACTAATGGGGTGTCTCCGAGCTTACTGGAGCTCTGATGGACGGCCCTGACTATCACTGACACACAGAGACGGTCACTCTGACGGCACACAACACCCTATAACTGCGTCATGACCAGCCTGCCATGCGTCGCCGGTGCCGCATTCGTCGCTGTGCTTCTTTAGCAGGCGGTGGACTATCGGCTGCGAGGACGGTCGCATTTGCGCGAGGCGAGGCGAGCATTCAGACGCGTTGCATGCGCCATGACTCGCGCCAGCGCGTGCGGGAGCTCCTGGCTGAGCGTTGAGTCCAGGCGAGTTGCGCTGGCCACGATCGCTACGCCAAGCCGAGCTGACGCGCCGAGGCGCCGGCCAGTCGCAGCCGTGAGGCATGCCACAGCAGCAGAGGCACCTCCCACCCATTGGGCGGGCAGACAGAAGGCCAGGGCAGCACTGGTAAGTGCAACGCGCCTCATGTCGGAGAGCGACCGTGCCTCGTTCGCCGCTTATGATGTAGAGTTTGTTGTAGAGATTTCACGTTGTAGAGCGCCTCTACATCGCTCTACAACGCACCCGCCTCGTCACGCGGTGGATGTAGAGCTCTACAGCTCTACAGCACTCTCCAGCTCTACAGCTCTACAGCGCTCTACACTCTACATCCTCTACACCCTCCCTCCCTCAGGGGACCCCTCGATCGTCTCGCCCACCCTCACTGGTCTCTTCTATGCCCCACCATGCAGATTGGCCATTACCAGACTTTCGTTAGATGTGAGCGCAACTTTCCTTTCTTTCTTTCGCGCAACAACACCGCAAATTTTGCGAAAGTCTGGTAAGGGCCAACATGCAGAGCGCATCGCTCTCTCTGTTGTGCGAGGCGTGAACCGCGCCATTCGCTCTCACCTGCGACCTGGCAGCCCTGTCTGCACGTCTCCGGGTGTCTTGGGGTTCTTGCCCAAAAATGCGTGTGGTTTTTTTGCCCATGCACATTTTTGCATGGGCAAAAACTGTTGCATATGTTGCATATCACACATATCATGGCATTTGAACGCATTATTGTGCATTCAAGACTGCATTCTGCATTTTCTGCATTCGGTGGGCAACTGCATTTCATCTGCATATGCATTTTCTGCATTCGGTGGGCAACTGCATTTCTGCTGCATTTCTGCATTCTTTGGGCAACTGCATTTCAGCTGCATATGCGGCGGGAAACTGCATTTAGTTGCATGGATTCACTGACACACGGCCTCCATTGCGTGTGCACCTAATCCTCCAAAAAGACAATGATGTCCCTCCCAGGGTGCTCGCTGTCTCGGTCGACCACAATCTCGTACTCCGTGCGCAAGTAAGCAACCGCAGCGCGAACACCAAGATGGCAATGCTGGTCCGCCTCTTTCAGCTGGCCCTCTGGTGGCAGGGAGAGATTCACCGGGAGGGTGGGGACATCATCTCCGACATCAACTGCAGGGAGTTTGGACCCCTCTCTGAGACGGAGGAGGAGGAGGAGGAGGAGGAGGAGGAGGAGGGGCTGGAGTGGTTCGAGATCACGTGCCCCGAGGACGCGGGGGCTGGGGACGTCATGACCATCGTGGACGGTGACGGTGACAAGCTGGAGCTGGAGATCCCCGAGGGGGTGGTGCCGGGCGAGACCTTCTCCTACAGGATCGAGTAGCCTCCCCAGGAGAGCGAACGCTTTGTCATCCTCACTGGAGGAGGGGAAGGGGGGGGGGGGGAGGCAGGAGGAGTGGAGGAGGAGATGCAGAAGGAGCAGGAGGGGAGGGGAGAGGGAAGGGGAGGGGGGAGGAGTCTGGGGGGTACTTGAGGGGAGGGGAGAGGGGAGGGGAGGGGAGGGGGGAGGAGTCTGGGTGGTGCACTTGCCTAAGGTTCTTGCCCTCAAAAAATTGCAAAGATATGCAGTCATGCCCCGAATGCATCGAATGATGCACTGTTATGCAATCACGCACAAAATGCATCGAATGCAGAATGCAACGAAATGCAATCACGCGCAAAATGCATCGAATGCATATGCAACGAAATGCAATCACGCGCAAAATGCATCGAATGTTGCAATGCAGTTGTAATGCAGGAGATGCATGCGAATGCAGAAAATGCACTGCATGGGCAAAAACCACACGCATTTTTGGGCAAGAACCACACTTTTCCCACGTCGCGCGCGCGCGTGAACAGGGCGTCGTTAGGTGCGGATGAAGCCGGAGCGGCGCTGCGCGCTGATCGAGTACACGCTGCGCAAGTCGGCAGAGGAGGCGGCGATCAAGGGGGCGAGGCTGAAGCTCTGGTGGGCAAAGTCGCAGCAGGCGGCCGACAACGCCGACGCGCGGAAGTACGTGAGCCAGGCCTACGGCGCGCCGGTGCCCCCGCCGGGCGAGGTTGCCGTCTTTGGAGCGGCCGGCGGCGCGTCGCTGTACCCGTCGATGAACCCGAGTGCGATGGGCGCGCGGCCCGACGCCAGGTGATGGCGATGTGGTGGCGGTGGCGAGGGTGATGCGCCGCCGCCGAGGGCGATGCGTTTTGTGCTGGGGGAGACGTCTGGGAAGAATTTCACAATGTTGAAAAGAATTTAATCAAAACAACCCGGCCCCCGCCCTTCCTCCTCCCCTCCTCCGTCCCAGCTCCACTCATCCCTCTCTCGCCATCGCCTGCAGGTGCAGGGAAACACGAAACGAAAATTGATGGGCTTGCCCATCCCGGAGTGGTTCGATCCCACATGAATCCGAGACGGTGATGGGAGGCGTCTCGGCGGTCTCAGGCCCAGTGAGGTAGTGCGCCTGACTACCCCGGATCCTGCTGAACAAGCTCCTCTTGTAGCTCGATCGGTCACACCGCCATCGCCGTCGGGGAGAGGGGGGACGACACTGCTTCTGCAGCGTGCACCTCGATCCTGTACCGTGTTTGTTATGACCCCCCCCAATGAACATACCAGTGAGGGAGGGCGAGACGATCGAGGGGTCCCGTACCACGCGGAATCGGCCCTATCCTGTGCTCAAGTGCTCAACTGTTGAAAAGAAAGCCCCGCATCTTGGCTGCCTGTGTCTTCGGCCGGCGAGGCACGCTCCCCCTTTCGATGCGCCTTTCGATGCGCCTGCTTCTGCTCGGCGTGCTTGCAGGGCTAGTAGCTGCTGAAGGCCCCACCCTCATCGAGGGCGACGCCCTCGGCTCGGACTCGGTCGTGCACGCCAGCATCGACGGGCACTCGACGGAAGCGGCGCGCTCGGCGCCGCCTGGCTTTGAGACGGCTGGGGGCACCTCCCAGCGCCAAGCGGGCGGCGCCAGCCGCAACATGCTGGGCGTCCCGACCGACGTCCAGCGCAAGATCGACAACCGCGGCAGCCTCGGCGGGCCGCGCAAGACGTGTTCCGCCTTTGACGGCTGCCGCGGCGGCGGCGACTATGCGGAGAAGATGGTGAGTGTCGAACTCGCCGGCGCCGGCGCGGCAGGATCGAGCGCACATCACGCGCCGAGCGCCTCTGCGTCGCTTGGCGAGGACGCGTGCGCGGAGGCGGCCAAGAGTGAGAAGTGCGTCATGAACGAGTGCGCGTGCGCGACCAGCGAGTCCTGGGACGCCTCAGGCACCTGCGGTGCCGACGGCGGCGAGACATTGGGGCAGTCACGGCCGACAATCGAGATCGCGCAGGGCGAGAAGCTGCACCAGACCGGCGCGCGGGACGCCTCAGGCACCTGCGGTGCCGACGGCGGCGAGACATTGGGGCAGTCACGGCCGACAATCGAGATCGCGCAGGGCGAGAAGCTGCACCAGACCGGCGCGCGCGGCTTCGTGCGCGCCATCGTCGACAAGATCAGCACTTTAGTGACGGTGACGCAGCAGGGCCCGCTACGCTCGGAGCGCATGGCTTGCGCGGACCTGTCGCAGGAGAACGCGGCGGAGGACGCCGTCCTGATGGTGGCCGTGCTGCCCTTCGCCCACGAGCGCGGCGCGACGGCGGCCGCAACCACCAGCGGCCCCAGGGCCTTCGCGGGCGACACGGATCACGGCCGGTTCGACCTCAGTCAGTGGCTCAGCGGAGGCCGCGGCGCCCTGCTGAGCATTCGCTGCGGCACGTGGGTCTCGTTTGCAACGCTGAGCGTTTGTGCCGGCATGTGCGTTGTGCTCATGTGGCGGCGGCGCACGTTGGCCGCATTACAACGCAGGTGGGCTTGGCTTCATGTTAACAACTTTGACGAAGTCAAGGGGACAGCGCAGCTCAGCCTCTTCTCTCGAATGAAGTACGGGCATACCCCGTCGATCAAGCAGTGGGTTGACGTCCTCGAACAGCGCCTGTCAGCGCTGGCTCCTGCCGGAGCTCGTATTTGCATCGCGGGCTCTTCGTGCGGCCTCGTTCCCAATTGCGCAAACCTGGTGGTAGACGAGCTCGTGCGCCGCACCGGTGGGCGCTACCGGCGTGTGCACGTCAGCGTGAGCTTGCCCAAAGATCAGTCTCTCCGCAGCCTCAACTATTGCAATCTGAGCATGGCGGAGCGGGAGGCTGAGATGGCGACTCGATCGGTGCGCGTGCTGGAGCCGGAAGTCCTCGGAGAGAGCGATGCAGTGCTTGTCGTCGACGACATAATCTCGACGGGGCTGCATGAGCAGCAGCTCCGAGAGGCCCTCTCCAAGCACATCGACGAGCGACGACTCGGCTTCTGGTACTTCATCGCCCTCTCCCCGGAGAGCGACCCGAAGACTGAGTACGCGCTGGCGCACGCGCTCTACCCGGACGCGACCAAGCTGTGTTGCGACATCGCCGCCAGCCCCGACGGCGCGCACCAGATCACAAAGCGCATGCTCACCTTCCTGCTGACCGGCGACTTGCCTCCAGACTTTGCGCACCTCAGCGCGCTGCCCGCCGGGTTCATCCGGCGGCTCCTCGACACGCTCGACTCGTCTGGCCTCCGCCACCTCCCGAGCTACCAGGCGGGTTGCTGCGCGTTGGCAGAGCTCCATCAGCGCGCGTCGGTGGCCACGCGGCGGCTTGTGGCGCGGGCGCCGGTGCCCGACGTCAACGCGTGCATGGACAGGGTGGAGCTGCGTGCAGGCGAGAAGCTCGTCTGGCACTTCCGACACGGAGAGTCGGCGGCGAATGCCGCCGGTCAGGTCGCCTCGGAGGCGGACGGGGATCGCGGCGACGGGCTGTGCACCGAGCGACAGCGGCACGAGGCCGACGCGGACTATGCAGACGCGCGGCTCACGGCCACGGGCATCGCGCAGGCGCAGGCGCGTCGCGCCGATCTGGGCGTCTGGCGCAGGCGACCGTCCCTCATCGTGTCGTCGCCACTGACCCGCGCTCTGCAGACCGCCGCGTATATCTTCGCGGACGACCTCGCGGCGGGTGTCCCGCTCGTCGTCCGCCCCGAGCTGCGCGAGTTTTTCCCAAACCTGGCGCAGGACGCTGGGAGGCCGCTGGCCGCGCTGCGCTCTGACCCCGCGATCCGCGCCCTGCCCAATGCGAGCGTGGTCCTATCGGCCTTGTCGAACGAGGCGTGCGCGCAGTGGCGCCACGAGTGGGATGAGTGGCAGGCAAACGGCAGCGCCACCGGCGCGCGCGCGCGTAGCTGGCAGGCCCACTGCGCCGACGGCGGCCGCATCGCCGACTTCAAGGCGTGGCTGCACGGCCAGGGCCACACCTTTGTGGCGACCGTATCCCACTACGGCACCGTCAACGCCCTCGTCAACCACGAGCCGTGCGTCGAGGCTAGCGGGCAGCCGCGCCGCCCGGCAGAGGAGGTTGGGGGCCGGAATGCCTTCGCATGGAGGCTTGGCGTGCTCCCGCCAGAGGGCGGCATGAAGATCAGCATGCCCAACTGCGGCCATCTCGCTCTCGTGTATAGCGAGGAAGACTCGGAAGCAGACTAGCCTTCTAGCAGCGAGGCCGGAGGTAAGTAAGATAATAAAACCGGCCAAAGGGCGGAGAACACGCAGGATTCCAACTTTTTGCGGGGTAAGGTATGGTACGGTCGGCGCCAAAAGGGTGGGGGGGTATGGTCCTGGCCGCCGGAGGCGGCCTGCTCGACGGGTGGGGGGGTATGGTCAATCGCTGGAGCGGCCACGTTACAACAGGGTTCGAACCCAGTACACAGCCGCCGTACACAGCCGCGGACACGATGCCGACACGGCGGCCCCGGCCGCTTCGATACTGTCGCGGGCCTTCTCGCCGCGACGCCGCCTCAACTTCGGCTCCTGGACAGCTCGCTGCCCGACGACGCCGAGCGCGCCGCTGTGCGCAGCTGCTGCGCTGGTACGCTTGCGTCGTGCGTCGCACAGCTCGACGCTGCGATTGCACCGCATGCCGTCCGCATGATGGACGGGAGGCTTCCGACAAGCGACGCTTTCCGTGGCGACGACCACGATCTCAGCAAGCTGAAGGCGCTCAAAACTGTCGCCACGATGGTCCTGCAGGACGGACCGATGCTCTATCGCGAGGCCTGCGCGAGTCTCGTCCACGCGCGCTCCACCTTCTTCTCGGACCTCAACGCGGCGCTCGATGCCGATGTCTTTGATTCTGCCTTTCGATTCAGAGCGCCGTCGTGGCTCGCGAAGCGCGCGGGGCATGAGCTGTTGGCGCGCGTACCGCTCGTGCTCGTGCGCGTGCCTTTGGCCAGCGAGGCGGTGGAGGTGGAGGCGGAGGCGGCGGAGACGCCGGAGGTGACCATGGCGGAGGCGGAGGTGGCGCCAGCGGAGGCGGCGGAGGCGGAGGCCGTTCCAGCGGAGGTGACCATGGCGGAGGCGGCGCCGGCGGAGACCGCGCCCGCGCCCGCGCCCGAGGTGACCATGGCGGAGGCGGCGCCGGCGGAGACCGCGCCCGCGCCCGCGCCCGCGCTCGCACCGGCCGCGCCCGCGCCTGCGCCCGCGCCTGCGCCGGCACGCAAGGCCCTGGCGGCCTTTGCGGACATGCTCTGAGGGGTGAGCACGATTGCCGGCGGGTCACCTCGCGCAGACTGCATCGCGCGAACACGTGCCGCACGACCGGACGGCCTAACACGACGGTTACTGTACGCGCTCGTGTGGTGGGGTGGGGGGTGGGGGGGTATGGTCCTGCTGGCCAGAGGCGACGTCCTGTGCGGGTGGGGGGGTATGGTCGCGGCGCCAGGGCGCCGACGATACCATACCTTACCCCGCAAAAAGTCCGAACCCAGCCTCGCACTCACCTGGACTGGCTCGCTGCTCTTCGCGCTGCTGGCGGTGGCGCCTCCTGACGCGCTGCTCTCCCTGGACCTCCTTCCGTTCTGCTCGCCCGCCTTCTTCCTCGCGATTCGGTGGTTGGGCATCCGCCACGACTCTCTGGCTGGCAGGCATACTGGGCTTGTCCATGGCGACTTTTTCTCGGCGCGTGGCTCCTCGCCGAGGAGGGCGCTCCCGGGCCTCCCAGCAGAACGCTTCGCCCTTCGGTCCACCCTCGCCGTCTCCTCCTCCGCCGTCGGCGCGCCATCGCCGCCGTTTATGCAGGTGAGGCTGGATGGGGCCGCTGGTCACTGCGCGGATCTGCGCTGCGCTTCGAGCTGCGCGTGCCGAATCTGACGCGTGCGGCCGACGTGCGGTGCGAGTGCCTCGCCGGCCTCCTCGACGTGCGCGTGAAAGACGAGCAGCTGCTCGATGGTCGGCTTGTGGCCGGGCCATATGGGCCGGGCCCTCTCAGGTGCAGCCGACCGAGCTCAGGTGGCTGCTCGATACGTCGGCGGAGGGCGAGAGGTGTAGAGCTCGGCCCCCAGTGCCCAGAAGCCCAGGCGCTCCACCGCGCCTGTTCTTTCGAGCTATTCTTCACCGTCCTCTCCCTCCGTCGCCACGCATGTGCAGGTTGCTGTGCGTCGATATGCCGGTTCAGGGGTGGACGCCGCCGGAACAGGGGTGGAGCCCAAGTGGAAGGCTGCGGCGGCGCGGCTCGAGCGCAGCGGCCCGGCCGCCACCGACGGCCATCTTTCGGTCGCTCCGCGTGGCTGGGGCGCGGAGGTGGTTGGCGAGCCGCTCCTCGTCCTGGGCAGGCAAAGGAGCATCTCGAGCCAGTCGCTCGCACTCAAGCGCCTCGAAGAGTCGACGCAGCAGGCCCGGGCTCCTCTCTTTTTGTGCGAATTGGGTGCCTCTTTCTTAGGCGCCTCAAGCTTGTCAGCCTGGCGCGGCTGGAGGACGCGTTCGCGGCGAGGCCCGCCGGCCTCGTCCTCTCGCAGCTCTTTAAGACGGACGAGTTCCTCTTCGAGGCGGACAGCGAGACGGCCGACTTTGCGCTGGTGTCCTACCGGCAGGAGCCCCGGCCTCCCATGACCCGCTCCCACTGCCCCTCTCTTTGTGAGCTGTCCGCGCTTGGTTCAGGCGCGGGCCACGCCCGACGACGGCACGACGATGGACGAGCACCCTCAGGGCTGTACTGCTCAAGGCGAGGGAGGCGGGTGTGTGTGGCGGCGCTCTGGATGGACGCGTGGTGCTTCCGCTTCGCCGGCGAGTACGTCCACGAGGACTTTTGCGCGCTCCTCTCGCACGTCGTGCGGGCGGTCCGCGCCGTGATTTGGGTCCCCCTCAGCCGGACGAACACGGCGCCTTCGTTCCAGTTCCGGATGTGGTGCACCTTCGAGGCGGCCGTCGTGGAGCACCGGCAGCTACCCGTCTTCATTGCGGGCGAGCTGACGGCCTCGCAGCGGCGCCTGGCCCGCCTCGGCCCTCGCATCTTTGCGCTCCCCTGCCTCGAGCCGCGCGCGACGCTCGCGGAGCTGCGCATCCTCTCGACCTTCAACGTCTGCTTCCTCTTCATGGCGATCGCGTTTCCGCTCGCCCTTGCTGCCGATCTTCATGTCCCGCTCGGCTGCGCTGGCCGAACTGGTGCCCGCCCTCGGTCGCCAGTTCGCCCTAGCGCGCAACGGGCAGCGGGTGCTACGCACGTTGCTCCAGGCCTCCCGAGAGGCGGACAGCCGCATGGAGGAGGGCGGCTCCAAGTGCACTCCTTGAACCCTTGTCGCAACCCCCCCCTTAAGCCTTCTCCGAACCTCCTCACAGGCCCTCTCGGCAGCACAGACGTTGGGGCGACGCAGCGCGCGGGCAACGTGCTCGAGCTGCTGCGAGATCTGCCGTGGATTCCCGCCTACGATCGCCGCGACGCTCTCATCATCGCCGAGGTGCTCATGGTCCTGTACGAGGTGCCGCCGCGCAAGCTCGCGGCGGTCATACAGATCCAGGCCCTGTGGCGCGGCTCCCGTGAGAGGGCGGCGCGAAGAGCGCGGCTCTCCGCCGGCGCCGCCTCCTCCTCCCTCTCCGGCATGCAGAGCGAGGACAGCATGCAGAGCGAGGACAGCGTCCAGAGGAGTCGGGTCAGCCAGGCGGGAGGCCGCTCGCTGGAGAGGGTCGAGAGTGAGCGAAGCATGCAGAGCAGTCTGGCCAGCCAGAGCCACAGCAGGGGACAAAGCCGGGCCCGCAGCCAGCGCAGAGCGCGTGCGGCTTGGTCGCCGCTCTGGTCTGAGTCCCTCGCGTGGGACCGCGTCTCGTCCGACGAGTTTCTGCGCGCGCTGGCGCTCCTCTCTTCGTCTCTGCGCGGCAGGCGCGCTAAGACGGCGACTGGCCCTTTACCAATGGTGGAGAGGGGGTGCTGCTCGAGGAGTGGCTCAATCCAGCCGGACACCGTATGCCGCCGCCCGCCACTGCCAGCTGCGCCGCCTCCGTGTCCTTGGTGGAGCTCGATCGCTTGCGGCTGGCGGGTGCGCTCTGGCGACTCGCACCTACTGCGCACCCCGCTGGGCAAGCTGCAGGTTCCAGCGAGCCGCGCGTCTGCAAGCGTCAGCCTCGCCGACGCGTCGCCGGTGCCCGAGATGAGCAATGGGACCCTGCCCAGGTGCGCTCACCCACGCGCAATGGGACCCCTGCGCGTTGAAGGCCGTGGGGCTCCTGTCTTGCGACGCGTGGAGAGAGTCGCGAGGGATGGCCTGGCGCCCTGGTGGAGAAGTTTACTTGCCCTGCCCCCCTTGCCCTCGTCCAGACGGCGCCGCTCCCCTTCTTCGCCGCGGTCTTCTCCCTCTACTTTGTCGACCTCTCCACAGAGCTCATCATCAACGCCGTCGGGTCGCGGGCGCATGGCTGGAGCCGCGTGCCCGAGGCGCGAGAGATGCGAGGGAGAGGCCGCCCCTTGCCCCACACTGGCGTGTGGACAAGCGCACCTCGCCTCACATCAGGCGCTCCTCGCAGCTCTGGACGCTCTCCTCGTCGTCGTGGCCGCTTGCACCACCTGGCTGCCGGCCGCGCTCTGCACGTGGCGACTGCGCGCCGTGCCGCATGTCTCGCTCGCCGCGGTCTTCTCCCCTCGCGAGCGGGGCGAGTCCGCCATGGCCCTCCTCACGCCGTACGTGAATCGTGATCGTCCCGCGCTCCCGGCCGTCCCGTCCAGCTTCGTGGCCATCCTCCTCGTCGTGTGCGGGTTGCTTGGGCGGAAGCCGGAGAACGGCAGCCGCCCTCTCCTCGGATCACCTCACGGTGGACACGTTGTTATAAAGAATCCGTTTTCACCAGAGCGCCCGCCACGGACCGCGATGCCGTTCGGAACACACGCCACACACGCACACATCCTCAGTCGACAGTCGCGGACACAAACGAGAGAGAGAAGAGGAGAGAGAGAGAGAGGGAGAGAGGGAGAGAGAGAGAGAGAGAGAGAGAGAGAGAGAGAGAGAGAGAGAGAGAAGAGAGCGGCAAGAAGAAATACAGACGGGGGAGAGCTCCGGCGAGGAACCGCTGCCGGTGGCCGTGTGCACGTCTGCACGCGACAGTCCGGCTGCCGCGCCGACCCGTGGGGGGCGAGGTCCTAAGGCCGCCCTCGCGCTCTCGCGCAGCTCCAAGCAGGGAGGCTGGTGCGGCGCGGAGGGGGCTGGAGGGTGGGGGGGTGGGGACACCTCGGGGGCGGCGCTATCTCCGCCGCACACGCGGCGCTAACCGCCGGCGCAATCCCCGGGACCTCACGGGATCTCGAGCGAAGCCTTCGTGCGCATGATGATGAAGCCCGCCTGCGCAAGAGCGGCCAGCAGGGCCACCCACCGGCCGCGCCCCGCGCCGCTTTGTATGCGAGGTTCTGTCGTGCTCTTCGTGCGCGGGCCGTGGCCCCTTCTCCCAAGTTGCTCTCTATCTTGACCCTTTGT